AACTTACCACAAGAATTTGTATTGGTTACCGGACACGCCTCGCCTCTTTTGCCATTGACAATCTAACTTTGAGCTCAAATTTCTTGGTGTTGGCTTTCCCGTTGAAAATTTTCTTGGTATCATTGAATGCATAAGTCTTTCTCATCGATTAATATAAAAAATTTAAACTAATTCACAATAAGAATGGTAATATAATGTTTCGAAAAGTGACTAGCAATAAGATTGTTTAGAAGAATTTCATGAATAACCGAGCAAAAGTCTCTGTCATCTCGAGAAATAATCCATTTAGTGTCTCTCAAATTGCCGACGAAAATGGAGTTCTAGTTAGAGTGCCCAATTGTTAAGGCCTCTCAGCTCGTCTCAGTCAATTCTTTCGAAACAAAATACAGAAAAAAAAGTGAAAATAAATCAGGTTAATTCGATAAAATTTAGTTTCTGATCTCATTATCTCTTCATTTTTTTCATTTTTTCATTTTTTTCAGTGAATCCATTCAGCAAAATCCTTTTTTTTTCATAAACAATGGGGATTTCCCCGAAAAATCTCCAATAAAGAATTGCTCTGATCGAAAAGTGAAAATGGGAATTCAATTATTTTGAGTAGGGTCATTGTGATAGAGAAATCAATCGAAAGAAGAATCTCGGACAAAACAGATTTCTTTGCAAAGGGGGAAATATGTTTTACGTCCTGCTATATGACTTTTTGGAAATTTGTGGTTACGTTCGAGTAATTACCGTAGTGTTTATACTAATTACCATAGAGTTTATAGAGTTTATTCTTCGAGAACATTGGCAACTGGACGAGGTGAAACGGAGACGTCAAAGTTTCACTTCAAGTAATTCCTATAGCTAATTACCATAGAGTTTATAGAGTTTATTCTTCGAGAACACTGGCAACTGGACGGGTGAAATGGGGCGTCAAAGTTTCCTTTAAAGTAGCGTCAAGTGAATTAATTGAAAATGTAAAATGTTTTGTAAGCCTTTGAAACAAGGAAATTTTCTGGAAAGATTTTCGACAGCAAAAGCTGAAAAAAGCGAAAAATGTTGACACTTTTTGGGTGAGCTCCCCGAAGCTGTTTCTGTTGGTGACATTTCAATTTTCTCCTTGCACCTGAGCCCAAGAATTGCTTAATGTTTGCTCAATTTAGTTTCGGAGAAAACTTAGAGGAATGTGTGTATTTTGGGGAACCAAAGATCTGGTTGAAAGATTTGGCGATTAAATTTGTTTTGTACAGGATGTTCAATATTTTTCGGGATCAAATAGGTCACTTAAAGTTCGTTTTGTACAAATCTAATGTTGAAAAGAGACAAGATCAAACACATAGCCTTTAACAAGTTTAAAGTCCTTTCTTTTTTCTAAAACTATTGCCTTTCGCGTTGATGTTTGTCGGGCACGCCAAAGGAAGCTTAGCTTGAGGAGGCTTGGCCCGAGGATGGCTTGGCTTGTGGAGGCTTGGCTTGTGGGAGAAGCCCAGCTTGTGGAGAACGTAGCTTGCTTGTGGAGAACATGGCTTGCTTGTGAGAACGTGGCTTGCTTGTGGAGGAACGTAGCTTGCTTGTGGAGAACGTAGCTTGCTTGTGGAGGGCTTAACCTTTTTGTGGAGAACCAGCTTTGCTTGTGGAAAGCTTGGCTTGCTTGTGGAGAACTTAGTTTGCTTGTAGAGCTTAGCTTGCTTGTGGAGAGCTTAGCTTGTGGAAAGTCGGATCAATTGAGTTTATCCCAAACTTATCTTGTTTTCTTGAAGAATCAAAACTGAAATATGTTTCCAATTACAATTTTGTGTCATACTGATGTGTTAATGAAGAATTTTTGTATTCTTTGTAATAAACCTAATGTATAGTTAGATTTTAGTTAGAAAAACAGCAAGAACCATTACAAAAGGTCCTTTACCAAAATTTTTGTTCAAAAAAGTCACATTTGGTGAGATTCTCAGTTTTGAGTCGACGAAGATGAAATTGAGAAAAGGAGGAGAAAAAGAAAAACAAGAGAATCTCATTTTCTTTCAACAACCCCTAAACAGGAAAAGGGGGTGAGGGGAAAACAAGGCTAAAGAGAATGAGTCCAAGAACTCTTTTTAGACATAAGAATTCCCTCATAATAGAGGCACCTAACATACAGCTGTAACTGAATGTAACTTAACTTGTTACTGTTTGTAAATCCCATAGTAATACCATTGCCTCCGATAGATGTATTAGACTTTCATTTATACAGTACTGGACATGAAATATCATATTAGAAAACGATCGTCACTTTTCCGCGTCTGTAACTCCCTTGTCTTTGAGTTTAAACTATTAATTTATACATTTTCTCCCAGCTCTTTTCAAACTCTACACAATGGCAATATTAATATTTAGAAATACGGTAGAGACAGGGAGTTCTGAGGACATCTGAAATATTTTCAAATATGATATTTCGTTGTCAATGAATAACTCAATTTAAAAACTAACTACTTATCTGCTTCCTTTTTAGTATGATTTTTACTATGTTATGGCTAGAATTTTATAATATTACAATAGATAATGAAAACTAATTAACAGTACTGGACAATGAACAATGCTGAACATGAACAGTACTGGACCATGAACAGTACTGGACAATGAACAGTACTGGACAATGAGCAGTACTGGACAATGAACGTACTGGACAATGAACGTACTGGACAATGAACGTACTGGACATGAAATATCATGTATTTGAAAACGATCGTCACTTTGGCGCGTCTGTAACTCCCTTGTCTTTGAGGTTTAAAACTGTTAGTGTGATACATTTCTGAAAGCTCTTTTCAAGGGCTACACAATAGTGGCAACAGTAATATTTAGAAATACGGTAAAGACAAGGGAGTTACTGAACATAATGTTTTGATCCTTTCAAATATAATATTTCATTGTCCAGTAATCTTATATTTAAAACCTCCCTTAAGTCACACTCGACTTGTCCTTTACACCCGCAACATCTTGTGGTCCACCATTTTCGAGCGTTCGCCCGGACCATGACAGTAGTAAAACTGAAATTCATTTATATCTGTCTTTCTTTTTCTGTCTCTTTCTTTTCTTTTATCTGTCTTTTTATCTTGATTACTTCCATCTTTTTAATTTTCCATCCAGAATTTTGTTGTTTGAGAGGTTTGGATGTAATTGAAGTAAAGCGATAAAATATCTTTTATCAGTTCAATTTTTGCATATTCAGAATCATATTCAATGCTATTATATTTACACGACGTTTTTGATATCGCTGAATTTGACTCTATCACAAGTGACTGAAACGCATAAAATATCGGTGATTATCTTTGGAGCAACGCGTTTCGAAGATGCCATTCATTCGGTGGCGGTAAGCTTTTGAAACATTATTAAAAATACCGACTGGGAATACCAGTGGTGAATTTATCGCATACACAGAAATATATCAATCACAATACAACGACACTTTTAATACTAGGCTATATCTTAACCGAACCCACGTCATGACAGACGGCTCCCTAACTCCCGCTCAATGGGAACTAATCGCTTTTTTGGTGGTGAAGGGAAGATGACGATGAAGAGAGTGAAAACTGTCACTTTAAGAACTGGGGCTAACCACCAGACTGCCTCAGAAAACCTCAGCCCGAAGGGAGGGGAAATCCGAAGGGGTGACCATGTCGCATGTGGGGTTCAGACCCTCGACCTTCCGATTAAGATAAAAGACACTTAACCAGTCCAGCCACACGTGCTCGTATACTGTAAAGTTTCTAAAATTGTATCCAAGGAAAAGTTACATTAATTGGCAGTCAAATTACAAAGTTACATCCTGCATCTTAACTATAATTTTAACTATTGAATATCTCAAGCAAATGAGGATGGTTCAATCCTAGTTTAGCTCCGAGGCTTGGACTTAGTGCCAAGGCTGACGGCTGGCGCCTAACACTAATATATTTGGGTTTGGGCTGAACCCCATTTTTCCGGGAGTTCAGCCCAAGCAATTCCCAGAACTAGGTGCAAGCTTTTGGTGTTATGCTTGCGCCCCCCATAGGAGGATCTGGCAAATTTTCAGGTTTTAGGCTTGGGCTTAGGCTCGAGTACAGTACAAAAGTGAGAAGCTCAGTACAGTACATTAATGTCTTTTTAATTACACTTTTCACCTTTTCAGCCAGCGTGTTTCATTTATTTTTTTTGTTTGTTTCTTCAAATTCACATCTTCTTTAGGTGTCTTCGAGGAAGTCTTTGGATCAGATCATTTTACGATCGGTACCTGAGGATTTAGACCCGGAATTTGTGATGCCAAAGTGCTCAAGGGAGGGAAGTTTTTTGTCTCATTAAGCAAAAATGAAGTTTACTCTTTAGTGAAACGAATCAACTCGGTTGGCTGCCAAAGCGCGATCTGTAAACAGGTCAATGGATCGATTGCGGCCGTGATTTATCGATCGGACAAGCACCACCACATCAGGTCAGTGATAAAGAGATTGAAGATAGAGATAAACTTGCCACAAGCTCACCAGCCATACGCCTTTAATACTAGTAACGGATCAACAAAAAGATTCATCAATTTGGAGCAGACCAGACCAGTTTTGAAGAATGTCTCTAATGTAAAGGCATCCCCGAGCATCCAGATGTTCTTTGTACGCGGGGGAATGTCGCTCGCGATCTGGCGCACGTCTTTTGCTTAACCGCTTCATCGAGACCGCTCATAAACTTGCCTGGCTGGGGGTTTCTCGTGATCATCAAGACAGGACCCCCATGGTGAACATGATCATTGCTCTTTTGACTGTGTTGACCTGTGTGGCAAATTCCCGAGTTGGGGTTTGCTAACAGCTAAATTTTTGCGTGAGGGCTGCGTTCGCGCGGCCCTGCCAATACAGCGCTCTAAGGCGATCCCCAAGAGGGGTGCCCCGTGAACGCAAGTTGCTTTAGACGATGTTAATTAGACTGTTTCCCCGAACGTTTCTTCCCAACCATTGCGTTTTCAAGTTACTAGTTGATTATTATATCTTGTATAACATTGCTAGTGCTAGACTAATTGGAAAGCGTTAATGTTCCTGTTCTCCGATGCGGAACAAAGTTTTCAGGATTACCTCTCGCTCGTCGCAACGACGGCTTTCTCGTTGGGACTCTATCAGGTGCCGGTTGTTGCGGGAATGGTTCGCGATTTCCAATTTGGCAAAAATTTATCTAACACTACGCCCAATACTATCTGTTTGATTTTAAAATTTGAGCTAGTCTACCCAACTTTTGTCCGACCTACTCCATCTTTCGGCGATGAAGCCCAATGTGTTTTCTTCAGCTTTTAGAAAACTTAACTATCGGCAGGTGGTGAAGCTAAATATCAAATAAAATCAAATAAAGAATAATGCCGTAAATCCTGTAATTGGACCCCACCCCCATAATGACGGTGCGGAGTGTTGCGTGGTCTAGCTTTGAACGAGTTTTTCTTGACACTGGTTTATGCTGCAATGCGCGCTTTGGTATCAAAAATAGCCTAAATTTCAGCTATTTTTTGATGCCCAAGATGCATTTTTTGAAGTACAGGCGCTTTGAAAAAATGAAATACTCCCAAACTTTTGTGACTACGCGACTGTACGAGGGCGGTGGGCGACTATTACAGTATTTACGATACGAAGTGTGTTATCAAATAAGTGTTAGTACTAAGTATCTTAAAAGTTTTAGGTGAGCTTACTGTATGTGAAGGGCGATCGACACAGGGTTGCTTTCTATCGAATCTTTCGCTCTCGACGAAAAAAGATTTAAAGTGCATGTAAGTGACAAGGAAGTTGAAAGTTTTAAAACACATTTTCTTCAAAGAGCTCAATGTCTAATATCTGGCTTAGGTTCAATCTTATGTGGAACTCGAGTTGAATGATGACGAGTTGAACAACACGATTGCCGAGAGTTTCGAGGAGATCCCATCGAATATTATTGTCCTATTTGCAAGGTGATTTTTAGAGTTCTATAATCTTCAAATTCTAGATTGATTAGAAGTTCTAGATTTAAATATTGTAAATTTGTACGTCCATCTTTGTTTTCCATTCAGAAGATCGGATCACCTGTAATCTTTTCCGCTTGCCCACAATTGACGTCGGGTGGAAAGCTTTGGCTGATGAATGAGAGCGATGAAAGCAGCGAATGTTTTATTTGGTATGAAACTGAATATGAGTCCGAATGGCCTTGATGTTTGATTGGAATGATGTTGCCCTTGATCTTTGATTTTCCTTACAATTAGCATCACAAAGGGTCAATAATTGCATTTAGCTCGGCAGCTACGGAGTACGAATACTCTGTCGTATAGTCGACTCTCGATTAACCATTCTCAGGACGAAAAATTTCGATTTAACAAATTTAACAATTCTAAAAAGTACCCCAAACTTCTTGCGTAGCTGCCCCAAACGGCCAACGACTGCGTTTGGTTGGGCAGCTACGCAGAAATCTGAATGGCCAATGATTGAGTTTAGCTGGGCAGCTACGGAGAAACCAATTCCAAAAGAAATTTCTTCCGTAGTTGCCCCAAACGGCCAACGATTGCGTTTAGCTGGGCAGCTACGCAGAAATCAAGAGCATGTTTTAGAATTTCAGAATCGTTGACAAAGACGATACGTCGTTGTTAGTACTGCGATGTACAGTCGGTGCTCTCACTTTGCGGTCATTTTACTTGTACTCAACAATAGTTTTTCGAAAGTTTTTTTTTATAGCATCGTGTAGCTCAATTGAAGGGCTACATTTTGATACCAGACTCGTACAAAGCGAAGGCTCTGCTAAATGGCAATTCCATTCGGCGCAATTCTCGTTTTTGAACACCGGCGCAATTTTCATGGTCCCTTTACAGGGTGATTAAAAAGTGCACTTGTAAATGATTCAATTTCTAAATGAAAGCTATTGGGATGGTGGAAATAAAACCAGCGCTCATACATCTTTCGAAGAATAAAAAGATTGCAAGTCTCAGCCAATTAGTCTCAGCCTTGTATACTGTTCCAAGCTACAGATATTTTTTCTACAAAATAATGCCCCCAGATTTTGTGTTGATTGATTATTGGGGACTTGGGTGTTAAAAAGTAACCGCAGACTCAGCTCGAGTCTCAACCTGAGCACCTGCATCTGCTGGCAACTATCGCTTCCACGGATCTTTTCACTTGAAATTTTTCCAGTATCTTAAGGGTCTACATTACTCAATACCAAAACCAAAAAACCAGCATAGATTCGATCGAGATATGAGAATTTAAAGTTGAAAATAGCCGTTGAAAGATTTTTCATTTGAGAACAGCCTCAAATAGATGAGCGCTATGACAGTTTGCCTCCAGCGTACTAAAATGTTTTTTTGGAGAGTTAGGTGACTCTGATGAGGATGGTTTAAGTGTAGAAATGCTCTCCAGAAGCTTTCAGCTTCAAAATACTATATAGTAAATTGAATTTCGATCTGGGTTTTAGCTGAAAAATCGAGGTTCTTTTGTAAAGTGTGCTTTTTGGGAAGTGGGAACTTTTTGATCATCCTGTATCTCTAGGCTTGATCTCATCTCGACTCACACAAACACCCAGCGAGACGCTAAGAGATTCATTCGCTACCATACGGGTGAGTGATCTTTAAGATTTGCATAGTTTAGATCATTTTTGATGATACTGTTGAAATGCAAAGCTTATACACCTTCAGTTTGGCCTAGAAGCGATGGGTAAAGGAGCCGAAGGCTTGAAGCCGCCAACAACGTGTGAGCGCGACGCAAATCCGAAAGCTGTCGATGTTTGGCCCACCATTCAAGCTCCAATACTTTATAAGTAATCTTGAAAGTCTTCTAAAATTTCTCAACTTTCAGACAAATCTGCTCTGGTGGCACATCTCGACTTTTCTTTAATTCGGTTTGCGCGAGAGAAGGAGTTGACTATGATTTGATTAATAAACGGCCTGATGGAGCGAGATATGTTGGAAATCTGGTAGCTTCAAATCTTGAGAAGGATTAAAGAATAAAGAATAAAGAATAAAGAATAAAGTGTTTTAAAATCAAAATCAAAATGTCTAGACCTACGAGACTTTACGAATCGATGAGGGATTGATTTACTGGCCGGGCGGGGAAAGGAAACTACTTGAGATCACTTTGCCGAGAGAGTTGAGGTTGGTGATGATGATTTGAATTTCTACGAAATCTTTCATTGTCTTTACAAGTTTCTTTACGATTCTCCATATTTTACAAGAGATTCTCCATTCCATATTTCTCCATTTTACAGATCTCTAGATTTTTCTTGAACTTTAAATCATTTTTGGCTTTCCAGAGTAGCGACAACCGATGATCCACCATTTGTGTACACCCTGAAAGTCTTAAATGGGTCGATGTGTGAGAAAATGACAAGAGAAGAGGTCAATATGATTGGAGGGGATTCCATTTTCATTTTAAGATTATATATATATATATTTTGATTAGTTTTCCAAAGTTTGCTTAAAAGGATTCGTTATTCGATTCAGAATTCAACGCCAATTTCGGATTTGCTTTCCGTTTCTGCTTAGCATTCTGTCAAAAGTTATAAGCATCCAAAGTTTTCCAAAAGGCTGCCGTAGGTTCATGCTCTTTCTCCTCTTAGTATCTTTTGGGAGTTTACTCTCTTTGATAACTTGCTTTGCTGATGTTTTTTGAATATTGGCAGACAATAAACCCCAATCAACATTCGGTTATTCGATTAGCTTTCAACCAACATAGTTTGGATTGCTTTCCGTTTCTGCTTAGCATCTTGTCCGTTTCTGTCAAAAGTTCTAAGCATCCAAAGTTTTGTATGGGATTTGAAACAAAGAACAATCAACTTTACAAATTCAAAAAAGAAAAGGACGGACTCGAACTAGAGAGTGTCAACGAGAGAGTTTGATTTTGATTCATCGAATCATCCAATCAAGTGTCTCCTCGATTCTCGTGATGTGGCTGATTCATGCTGCCGCCTATTCTTGGTTGTGTCCCATCAAATGCGTCAAATGCAGCTACATTGAACCCTGCCCTTGGCCATCTCTCTCGAAAGTCTCTGGGAAGTCTGCACCTGAAATCGAGTAGTTTTAAAATCCTATACAATAAACTTTGCCTTTGACATATTGCTATGGAGAAACGGAAAGCAAATTCGAAATCGGCGTTGAATTCTGCTTCGAATAAGCCGTAGCACATGTTGATACCATATCCAGTTGACATTCGCTTGTGAGTTAAGCAAAAATAAATCAATTATGATCTTAAGAAGATTTGCTGAAGGAAATCGTTTTGGCGCCTTCTAGAAAACAGCTTAAAGCAAAGAGAACATAGTTTGATGGCTTTGTAGCACTGAAAATTCCAGGACGGCCCATGGTACCCTTGCCCAAAAGCACTGCCAAATGGTCAAAAAGAGCATTACTGTTGTGCTGGTTATGCGATCGATTTACTCTCGAACATGTCACTTCCCGAGGTTAGCTCGTCACATCTTTTTAACTCCTACTTTGAGTACTGAAATCATGAAGGAAGTTCAGGAGGGAAGCTCTCTAGACACATCTTTCTTTTTCTCACTTCATCTGAATGATTCGTATGGAATGGTGACAGCTGATCCGATTGATGGAGTCATACTAACGGGAGCTTTGGGAGAACTCGTCACTGATCTTGCTGATATGGCTGTTGGTTTGTTTTTGGACTATATACTATGTACTAGACATGGGCAGCGGCGGGTCGGGTCGGGTCGGATCGGGTCGGATCAAAAGTGACCCGCTGACCCGGCCCGCGACCCGGCTGTTTTCCCGGATGACCCGCTGACCCGGCCCGCGACCCGGCTGTTTTCCCGGATGACCCGCTGACCCGGCCCGCGACCCGGATGTTTTCCCGGATGACCCGCTGACCCGGCCGGCGACCCGGCTGTTTTCCCGGATGACCCGCTGACCCGACCCGTGACCCGGCTTTTTTCCCGGATGACCCGCTGACCCGACCCGCGACCCGGCTTTTTCCCGGATGACCCGCTGACCCGGCCCGCGACCCGGCTGTTTTCCCGGATGACCCGCTGACCCGGCCCGCGACCCGGCTGTTTTCCCGGATGACCCGCTGGCCGGCCCGCGACCCGGCTGTTTTCCCGGATGACTGCCGAGCCCCGGCCCGCGGCCCAGCTGTTTTTGGATGACCACTTATTGGCGGCGGAGTGTTTCCAGATGACCCGCTGACCCGGCCGGCGACCCGGCTTTGTTGGACTAAGTACTAAGTACATAGTATGTACTATGTACTCTAAAAGATTATTGTTTCGAAATTCGAAATACTCAGTCGAAGAGTTTCAATGAGTTTACGGTTAATTCATTGTCGTAGTTTTGTCTTAAAATAGAGTCTTTCGATTTTTTCTGACAGACAACGATTTTCAAAAACTACCTTAATCAAACCGGTTTTCATTTGATAAGCTCAATCTTGAGGAATTCGATGAGAATCGAAATCGAATTCCTCAAGATTTCTATTCTCATCGAATTCCTCATCGATATTCGATGAGAAATCGCGACTCAGGCAATCTCAAAATTGAATTCGATTGAATTGATTCAATTAAAATGCTGGCATTTCGATTACGATAGTTTTTTTGAAAGTATCTACCTTTTAAAAAACGGATTAGCAAAAAGGAATTTTTAAAATTTGTATTCTTCGAGTTGAAATCTTTTTCTTGTCAGGTGGTATGACGATCAACCCGGAACGTGAGCGTTTCATCGATTTCTCCGAACCGTGGCTCTATCACGGGATTCGAGTGATGGAGAAATCGGTAGCTCTTAAAGCTTAAAGATTAAAAGTAATTGACTCATTCGAATTAGATCCCAAAAGATTCGCCGATGGAATCCTTTCTGCAACCGATGAAGAACTCGCTCTGGGGCGCGCTTCTCATCTCGGTGATCCTCGTCGGATGCGTCATATTTGTCCTCGATTTCAAGAGCCCCTTTGATCGATTTTATAAAGTACTAAAAAATAATTGTAATATTTTTAATCAATGAAACAGGTGGATACATCAACGCTTGATCCGAGAGATCCATTTCTGCAAAGAGCGCCCGACGATCGGGTCGATTTCGGTGAAGCGATGTGGTTTGTTTGGGGAGTGTTGCTCAATTCGGGAGTCTCCGAAAGTTTGTTTTCCAAAGAGACGCAAGCTTTAAGGATTTACGTTTTAAACGCCTAAAGAAACTGTGGAAGTCTTTTTACTTTTCAATAAACTGGTCGTATAGTTGACTAGTATCAGTCTACAGTTGACCAGTATAGGTCTATAGTTGACCAGTATAGGTCTATAGTTGACCAATATCAATGCTCTCAAGGGTATTCAATGTTTAGTGGGAACAATAAATCACTAAGTTTAAAGCTCGTTTTGTACAAATCTAATGTTAAAAAAGAAACAAACAGATCAAGCGCCTATACTTTAACAAGTTTCGGTTAATTTTACCAATCAAACTAGCCTACCTAAACCTACAAACCAACAAACAAACAAGCTTTGCGCGGGTCAATCGATCTGCCTCGATAGCCCACAGTGGATGGTATTGTAGGTTCGAATGGTGAGATTTCTTGGTTCAGATGGTGTGACTAAGCCAGGCACAGACTAGCAATAAGATCAACTCCTCATAGTCCCGTAATGTTAATAAATTTCCCACTATTGGAAACGACGAATTTCAGAGACGCCTCGTTCCTGTTCGGCGCGGGTTCTCGGGATTGTTTGGTGCGGTTTCTGTATGATCATCGTTGCTTCCTATACAGCCAACTTGGCCGCTTTCCTTGTTTTAGATCAACCGGAAAAGGGCCTAACTGGAATCACTGATCCAAGAGTGAGAAAAATTAGTTTTTGTATTGATGTTACCAACACTTTAGCTCCGAAACCCATCGACAAACTTCTCGGCGGCTACAGTGCTGAATTCGAACGTCTATCAATACTTTAAGGTACACGATTTTAAAGGTGAATTACAAATTTTCTTAAGCGTCACGTGGAGTTGTCGACAATGTTCCGAAAAATGGAGAAACACAATGTGGATAAGCCGAGCGATGCAATCAAGGCTTTGTTGAATGGGTCAGAGGATTCGCTGACTTTGAACTGACTTTGTACTGACTTTGAACTGACTTTGAACTGACTTTGAAATGATTCATGAGAAAACGATCTTACTAGGGAATGACGCCAACTTATGTCGGCCTTTTTGAAGTCGACCTTTAGCTTATCTGATAGAGTTTTGAACGGTGATTTGAAATCTGATTTTAGTTTCACTAATTGAGCCCTGTATCGCGAGTTATCTCTCAAAGAAGTTTAGGTCGCATTTTCAGAGCTAATATAAGCCAATATAGGCCTTCTTACTTCTCCGTGAGTTTAACGAAGCGGCGGTGTAGGGAATAGTGCGCCAGCGCTGGGCGCTCTTTGGTCCTGGTTCGACTCCACTAAGCGTCGACTCCTAGCTTTTTTTGTCACACTTAAGACTTTAAGCATTCTACGATTTTAAGCATATTATAGTTACCGTATTTTCTCTAATAGTATCGAAAACATGGTTGGTCAAGAGTTGGTTAGATTTCGTCTTGAAAAACTCTAGCTACAATACTCGAGAGTGCTTTAATCATTGATACCGTATTTTCTCTAATAGTAGTGCACCCAGAGCTTCGCCTAAATTGCTCGAAATCTCGAGAACCGCTTATCAGAACCTATCGATGTGAGGCCGGAAAATGTAGCTGTTGTTTCAGCTAAAACAAGCCAGTCATTAGGCTTAAAAATTGAGAATATTCTGGCAATTTTGTTTCAGTTTTAGATTTTCAAGTTTCAATTTTCATTTTAATTTTCATATTTCAGCTTGAACGTTATTTGTTTAGTACACTGGATGCGTTCATCTGGGACTCAAGCCGATTGGAGTTTGAGGCGTCGAGGTATTGCTCGTTGAGGTGAGGAAATACTCAAATTTTCCTCGATTTTTGATCTTTTTGATGTAAGAAAGCGGAGAAGAAAGAAATTTCGATTGAACAATTTTCTATTGAACAATTTCTACTGAACAATTTTCTATTGAACTATTGGATTTTATAGAACTTCGAGGCACGCTTTTCGGTCGATCCGCCTACGGGATCGGCTTGCAACGAAATAGCCCGTGGACCCAGCACATCACAGCCGCGATTTTGCGAATGACTGAGAGTGAGTACTTTTGCAAAAGTTTACAGCGAAATAGCCTTTCTAGAAAGTTTTCTCAAAAACTTTTTTAGGTGGACAAATGGAGAATCTTGGCAACAAATGGATCTCTTCGCCGACTTCTTGTCCGGTCGAGGTTCAAAAGACGCCGGCTAGATTGGGTACATTTCTTTCGAAATCTAATTTATCTTATCTTATCATTTGCAAATTCTTAAATAGAATGAGCTTTAAAATGAGCTTTAAACTGGGCTTTAAAATTAGCTTTAAAATTTCAGGTTTAACAAATATGCGAGATGTGTTTGTTTTGGTTTCGGTCGGCGTTTTGATCGGCATTTTCTTTAGCTTTATTGAAGTGATTTACGGGAGAAAAAAGGCTGCGTATGGGTGAGTTGGAAAGGGTTCAATTTTCACAAATTTTCACAAATTACAATGTAAACACTTACAATTAAACAAAATTAATAAAATAACAAACAAACAAACAAATGAAATTAACGAAATATCCGTTTACACTTGGTATTCGAACAATCTGAAAGTTGACCGCAAAGTATACCCACAACTTTTTGGAAAAGTATCTGGGAAATGCCTAACCTATTTTAGAATTGTCAAGTGTTATATAGAGCATTGTAGCCCTAATTCTTGGCTACATTTATCTATCAAAAACTTTCCAATTCGACTCGTACAACTCATTTTACAAGCGCTTGAATGAGCGCTAGTGTCCGCTAGTGTCTCTCCAACCAATCTGTCATTTGGCCGCTTTTCTTTATTAAAAATTGTTACAAAAAGCTTTTCAATATTTCTTTAATACAAAAATAGCGTTTAACATCACTTAATAACATTCAGAATCACAGTTAACTGTTTTGGTTCAACTGGCATAACCAAAATTTAAGTTAATGTCAAGCTCCTTTCGGAGGAGCAGAGAAAAAGGTGACAATTGAGTTCAGCTATTGAGTTCAACTGTTCTGGCGCTAGAAATTTGTTGAAAACAATTTTTTCGAAGAAAATTCCCACAAATTTCACTGAAAAAAAACTTTTCCGAATGAAATTTTTAAAGTGGAAAAGCGGTTAAATGACAGATTCGCTAGAGAGATGTCGATGTCATTCAAGCGCTTTTTAAAAAATTCTATACGTCGAATCGGAAAGTTTTTGATAGGTAAATGTAGCCAAGATTACGGGCTACAATTCTCTATATAACACTTGACACTTTTGAAATAGATTAGACATTTCCCCAGGTACTTTTCCAAAAAACGTTGTCACTATACTTTGCCTGTATATTGATGTAAGATTATCTTTTCATTCCATAAAAAGTTCTAGGCGAAAAATGGAGATTGCGAAACGCTACGTGGCGAAATGGCAGAGAATCACCAAAAACCGAAATCATCGGTAATAAAGCTACAAAATGGAAAAATTTGCATCATTGCATCAATTTGCAAACTTCTCTGTTGATTTTCTAAAAAAATTTTTTGAAAAACTAACTACCGTATTTTCTCTAATAGTAGCGAGCCGAGTTGATGACTATTTTACGGTTTCTAAGTTTTCGCAGAAGTTAAACACTCAAATCCCCCACAAGATCTCATCGTCAGCTACATTTTCCGATCCCACATCGATAGGTTCTGATAAGCGGTTCTCGAGATTTCGAGCAATTTAGGCGGCGCTCTGGGTGCACTACGATTAGAGAAAATACGGTATTATGAAAGTTAAAATTAACTACAAAACCTTTAAATATCGAATTTTCTTCTCACAACCCCTCTTATCCCGTAGATGACTTTATTTTTCCCTTTTTTCTCATCAATTGTTACAATTGAGGCAGTTACGCACTTTCCATAGCAATCCCCAATCTTCTAGCCATTCGTCCAAAGTCAACGTCAGATTTTGCGGCAATTTTTGAGCCATTCTTTCAAATAGATTAAACACTTAAATCTATCTATTTACTGCAACGAAACCCGTCATAAATAAATAAAGTAAGTAAGTAAAGTAAAGTAAAGAAAAAACATCAAAAGAAACCCGGTAAAAATCGCGTGAAAATCAATTTACTTAAATGCAAATTGATGTAATTATGGAAATTTAGAAGCACTCATAGCACTAAGCTCTTTTCAGATACCCAAAACGATATTCTTTGTTTCGGCCGGTGATCCGAAAAGGATTCGCTGGTAAAGAAGCTTTACCGTTAGATGTGAGTTAATGAATGAAAAAAAAACACGTACAGGAATGTACAGGAATGCCGGCGAAGGATGATCGCCAAACGGTCACGAATCCCGCCAGTCGATGTGCATCTCGACACCGACTTTGCGCCAGTCTATCGTTTTGGGAGACGCCCGGTGATCACGTTTTGTAGTCGATGTCGAGTAAGTGAATTCATGATCGAAGTGATCATCGTACGCTAACTTTTCAGAAATTTATTCAATCTGTATTCTTTTGATGTCATTGTCATTTACGTGATGTCATTGTCATTTACGTGATGTCATTGTCATCTACGTGATGTCATTATCATCTACGTGATGTCATTGTCATTTACGTGATGTCATTATCATTTCATGATTCATTGTCATCTACGTGATATCATTGTCCGTATGGCTGACCAAATCATGCAATTTTATAGATCTATGAAAAGTATAGTCAAAAGTACGTTGTACACGAATGAGCTTTTGGGGAAATAATATGGAATCTGGAATCCGGAATCCGGAATCCTCGGATCGGACTTTTACTCCAGTTATCTTTTACGAGTCAGGGTAAAATTCGATTCTTAATCTTTTCCGATTCGATAAGAGCTTCCGATGACTACGAAATCTCACAGAAATCAACGTTTAGAACCTTGTCGAAACAGAAGTCCACCAAGAAGCCGGCGCAATGTCCGTCTGTCTTTGCGTTCTCCTTTCTCTTGTTTTCCTTTGGCCTTGTGCTCCACTTCCTTGTTTTCTCGCAATCTGTGCTGATTTCACACATTTTTGCCCATTCTGTGCACACGAAATCGCGAAATTTCGACGTGGTCGCTCAACTCGGGTCTTTATTTGAAATCGAATCAATTTTTGGTGTACTTTGTGACGCACTTAACCTTCTCTAAAAGTTGAGTATGCCAGAAGGAATGTGTTTCGATTTTTGCTGTACTTTGTGATGCGCTTAACCTTCTCTAAAAATTGAGTACGCCAGTAGGGATGTGTTTCCATTTTTAAAGCGCAAATTTCAACTAAATTATTTCAACTTTCAACTAAATCTGTCCATTTCAAAGGCGCTTTTGCTTTTTATAAACTTTTATATGGTTTTCTTTTATACAAATCTTTTTCATAAAGCATAAATAAGTTACCGATTTTCCTTTTTGTTGCTAGAAAACATTTCCAATCACAGTAAACGGTGAAGAAAACAAAGCTCAGTGGAATTTCAAAATTTGTATCAAACAGAGACAAAGAGATCCCGTAACAGTCAGCACAATGATTGGTGGGTTGAATGGAGAAAAGGATGGAGAAAATGATGAAGAAAAAGATTAAGTTAATGATATATAAAGTGAAAAAAATCCTGCCAAACCACACACCGCTTTGGTGGATTCATTTTGGCGTCAGGAGGGCAGCTGAAAGCATGCGAGAACTCGGGCTGATTCTGGAAAAAAAAAGATGTATTAATGATTGAATAGATTTACATTTATTCACACGAATAATATGATACAATGTTTTCCATTCTATTATAGATAACCCAACATTCTATTATAGATATTATAGAAACTATTATTTAGATAACCAGCTGCGTTGGACGTCCCCGCAGCACGGATATTCGACCTAGAGGTACTGAGGGCACCTAGCACAAATCTGACTACAGATTTGGATTCCTCACCCCCGAAAACCCCTGAGTACAAATTTTCAGCTTTCTAGCTCACTTCGTTGTAATTTTACGTTAACGTCATTTGTATTATCGCGTAGGCGTGACGAACGGACGTTTTATTTTTGTATATAGTAGATGGCTTTCTATGTTATGTATACAAAAGTAAAAGCTTTTCGAAAACTGTCGTTCTTGAGCTCTCAAGGGACCTAGAACTTCTATAAGCTTTTCTATAAGCTTTTAGGACAATTTGAAGTTTTTTTGAACGTTTTAAATACGTAAGTAAGTATCATTTTTGCGTACCTGCAGGACAACATTCACTCGGAACATCCCCGGCGCGTGTGGATCCGTCAAAATCAGCCGAACTGTTGCCTCTGGGGTCATCTTGTTACACCATGTCTAAAATAAAGAACTATTACAAAAGTAATCTTTTTCCCAGACCTAGGGTTAGGCCAGAAGCCAGGTCTTGCCCAGAGTAAGACCTGAATTCTGGTGTGCCTTTTGCCAGACCAGCAGTAAAGCCAGACCAGAAGCCAGATGATGGCCGCTGGCTGAAGCCAGCCAGATCAGACTCTGGACTTTGTCTGGTACACTACCATAACAAGAGCTGGACACGCCGATCCTTTTATGGGGGCTGGAGGACATGGTCGGCACCGGGATTCGAACCCGCGACCGCTCACCGGCTGAAGGCTTTTCCAATGAGCTACACCGACGTATCCCATTGCCGCCAAGATAGAGCTTTATGCATTATTTAAGGTTACAGTTTTTGACAAAAATGACATAGTTTAGAAGTTTCGAAGGCTTCAATCTCACCTGTGCATATCCAATGAAGAACATTTGATCATTTGTGTACTTTTCGAGCCCCGGGATCGTTGCCTCAGCCCCATTCTTCTCCAGATATCTTTTGTAGGCCTTGAAAAGAATGGATTTATATTATTTATCTTAAATCATTCTTATACTTGACTCTTATTTCTCTTAAAAGCTTCTTAATAGCTTCTCACCTTGTACGCTTGTTTGACTCCTCCATTGTCGGCGATATTCTCTCCTTGGGTGAGCTTTCCGTTCAAATGGAGACCACTCGTCCCAGGCACAATTTGAGCTGCGTACTAAATTCGAGAATATTCTGCTTATTGATTTTGAGCTTGATCTTGAGCTTGAATCTTGATTTGAACTTAGATTCTCATCTTATAAATTTCACAAACTTGATCAATGATGCACTGTGTTCGTTCCTCGAATTTCTCCCGTGTTGCCCCGTCCCACCAATTCTTCAAATTACCGTCCTTGTCGAATTGAGATCCTGAAGATTCTTTTCATTCTTTTCATTCTTTAAAGGTTGATTAAAGGTGTTTAAAGGTGTTTAAAGGTGTTTAAAGGTGTTGCTGGAGGAACTGCTGCACTTGAGCGAAGATCAAAGTGAGCAAGAGGAAGAATTTGAGATTAACAACTTATTTTTATTGTGCTTGTGCTTGTGCTTTTTATTTTGTTTTTGAATTTATCTGCAATTAAAACTCAATCGATCTAGACTGTGCTGAGGTGTCTGATAAGTGACGATCTTGTTTTTCTCAAGTGCCAATCTTGTCATTCTCAAGTGACAATCTTGTTTTTCTCCAAGCCTTGCAGCGTCTCCAAAAATTAGTAAACCCATCAAATCACTCTAGCCGGGTGATTTTTATTTTTTTTATAATAAAATCAGCGATATTAAAATCAAAAAGCAGTTGGTTCCCGTCAAAAAGATTTTTTATGGTCACCCGGCCGCGATTAATACTCCCTTTAAAGATATTTAAAAGATATTTAAAGATATTTAAAGATAAAGATATTTTAAAGATTTAAAATGCAATTTAGCATTGTGAGGTGTCGGTGATTCTTTTCTAAAACTTGCCCACCTTGATCATCGAATCCATGAGTGATCTCATGTCCAATCACGGCTCCGATTCCTCCATAGTTTAACGATCTGAAGATTTTAGGTTTTAGGAATTGTAGATTCAGAAATTACTTGGGAAATTCAGCATCAAAGAATGGAGCTTGAAGGATACCGGCTGGGAACACTGTAAAGGAATACTGATTTAGAAAGACGGGGATTTTCATAAACTTTTTCATTTCTATTTTAATTTTTAATACACTTTTTTGATTTCTTTTCACTTGGGAATGCAAAAAAAAAGAATTATTTCACATAAACAGAGCAGAAATTGCATTTAAAACCCACTTTGATCAGAAGAAAACGACAAAAACCCCCAGGCTTTACCCAGGCTACTTGTCGCTTTTGCAGTTTGCAAGTTTGCCAGTCGCAGAAGCGTTAAATGTCAATGTCAACTTTATAAGTTAAAGTATTCAAAAGTTAAAGTATTTTTTTTTGAAAAGAAACTCACTGATCGCATTTTTAATCGACGAGTAGAAAGCGTTGACAACGGCCGCGTTCGTGCTGAACTCGTCGCGTTTCACTGGCTCCAAGAGGCTAAACGTGTACATGATTACTGTAGACTACTGTAGATTACTGTAGATTACTGTCTAGAGATAATATCTGATCCAAGCCCCACTCACCGATTGTAGGCGAAATTGATTCCCCATCGAATGCTCTTCTCAACCATTTGCGAGTAGGTATCCGTGTCCTCGACGTTGAGCTAAAAATTTAGGGTTTATCTATAAGAAATTATAAGAATTATCTTCTAGTTACAGTATTTTTTTTTGAGTTTTTTATAATATCTTTTAAGAATTTACATCTCTGAACCAATTGTCGAGCTCCTCGTCATCCAAAATGAAATCTGGGTAACCGATGAGACGAAGCATTGCTGACGCTTTCTCTTGAGCCACCTAAATTTTGGTTTTTAAAGGAATAGATATTTTTAGTCTTTTAGACTTTTAGATACCTTATTTTCTTAAAATTCTAATTTTTTATAAACCTTTTTCGTCCCCTGATCCATCCAATCGTTCTGAACGAGCATCGCCGAGAAAGCCTCTTGCAAATCGTCGATCATATCCATCGTCGTTTTCTTGGCCTCCTTGATTAGTTATTATTAGTTATTATTAGTTATTATATTATATATATACCGTAAATACTGTAATTAGACCCCAGCCCCATAATGACGCTGCTGAGTGCTGCGTAGCCTAGCTTTGAACGGGTTTTTCTCGGCACTGGTTTATGCTACAATGCGCGCTTAGGTATCAAAAAATAGCCCTGAATTTCAGCTATTTTTTCATACCAAAGACGCATTTTTTGAAAGTACGGGCGCTTTGAAAAAAATGAATTACTAAAAAACTTTTGCGACTACGCGACTGTACGAGGGCGGTGGGCGACTATTACAGTATTTACGATAGTTATAATAGTTATACTATAGAGATTTTGATAGCAAAGCTAGTCGGATATAGCTATCATAGCAAATCAAAATCGAATCTCAAAATGAAACCTTGTTGAAGAAATTCCGAACATACAACGAGCCGGCAGCGTAGGCCATTCTGAAATTTGGGTTTATCTTGAATTTCAACTCATTTAAAGCACCAACACTATTGAAAGCCTATTAATAGACAGATCTAATATTCAAATTCAAAACGATCAAGAACGAATTACCGTATTTTCTCTAATAGTAGTGCACCCCGGCGAGCCGAGTTGGTGACTATTTGACGGCTTCCAAAGTTTTCCCAGAAGCTCAACACTCAAATCCTCCACTAGATCTCATCGTCAGCTACATTTTCCGACATCGATAGGTTCTGATAAGTGGTTCTCGAGATTTCGAGGAATTTAGGCGACGCTCAGGGTGCACTACTATTAGAGAAAATACGGTATTTGAGAGAATACGGCGGCCGGTATTACGGTACTTGTCGTGGGATACCGTACTTGCGTCTAGACGTTGGGCACTGTACGTAAAACTTTCTTTAGTTTTGTAGTGAGTCTTGTAGCATACCGGATTCTCTCTAATAGTAGTGTACCCCGGCGAGCCGAGTTGGTGACTATTTGACGGTTTCCAAGCTTTTGCAGAAGCTCAACACTCAAATCCTCCACTAGATCTCATCGTCAGCGACATTTTCCAATACCCCACATCAATAGGTTCTGATAAGCGGTTCTCGAGATTTCGAGTAATTTAGGCGACGCTCAGGGTGCACTACTATTAGAGGAAATACGGTATATATTTTTATGCCCATGGGAACACTTTTTTTGATTCAGTTCCGGTTCTGAGGCGATTTTTGCGCCGCTCAGTTCAGTTCAATTTCCAGATCCCGGTTCTGATTTCAGCTAATTGTAATATTGTAATTAAGTAAAGTAGGGAATGCCGAAGAAAGATTTCGGAAAGAACATTAAACCCTTGACCTTCCCAGAAATCTTTCTTTACCATTTTCGGGCCAGATGCTAACCATTGAGCTATTCGGTATCTTCTTGACGGAGAAGAAAAAGGAAATATAAGGGGGAAGAGAAAGGAAGAAGAAGAAGAAAGTTTAACCAAAATCGAGCCGATTCTCGTATCTATGATACCTGTTTGTCGTAGCCGATGAGCAATCTTTCCATCTTGGCGATTTCGATTTCTTTCCGATGAGATCACGAACGAAATCCTGAAATGTTTTTTGGTAGTAGATCAAAAGCTTGTTTTGAGTTTTCAGGAGAAGATTTCCAAGACTTTAACCATCCAAACTTACTTGATAGATATCCTCGTATCGCTTTCCAATTTGCATACTCCAAGCCGACGTGTACCTAAACGTTTCTCTATATAAATCTTTAGTTTGATTAATTTTATCGAAATTTCCCCCATTCCTTTTGATAAGATGATGTAATTGGTGATGATTTTTGGATCGGTTTCTTTCAGAAGTTCGGTGAGACGACGCAAATAGTTGACTTCAGTAATCACTATCTGAAAAATGATTTGATTGACATTTTAAACGCTATTCAGTTAAACGTTCAGCTTTTCAAAGTAATTTCTAATTTCAAACTCACCTCAGGATTTCCCTTCAAATAATTGTGAGTAGAGAAAGGCATCACAGAGAGAAAATAACGATCCCAGTCAACCTAAAGAAATAAATGCAATTACCTTACTTTAATTATACAATTTATATAACTATAATTACGGTAAAATAAAATCTGTTAGATTACCGTAACCAACTGATCGTCGATTTTTCACCCCCCGAATTGGCCTAACTACAGTACACATGAGTCTTACTACCGAACACTATGAGTACTCATGGAGTGTACTCATTGTACTCATAGATGCTACTCACCCCCCCCCATCGTTGTACTCCCTTGCCCCCATAGATGTACTCATGTGTACCCATAGATGTACTCATGTGTACTCATAGATGTACTCATGTGCACTCGTAGATGTACTCATGTGCACTCATAGATGTACTCATGGCCCCTCCTTGCTCGGCCCACTCTTAGTGTTCAGTGTTATGACATATTTTCAAAATTGATTCTAAACCTCAATTCTTAAACCTTTTCACTTACAATCGGCATATACTTGGAGAGCTCAGAAAGTCGTGAGAGAAAATAGAGTTCCGTGAAATTTCACCTATCCTCCTCTGGGACGGTGATCCTAGCGAATTTGCGCTCGAATTCAAAACATTTCATCGATATCTTTCTGGAAATTCGTTATTGTTAAGAGCTGTATTTACATTATAAGATAATAATAATATGTGATTCATTCTACTTTTCTTAAATACCGAAATTTGCTCTTCATTTGGCACAAGTCCCGCGTCCTCAGTGATCAGTTTCACTTTCAATTTCATGTATTTCAAATAAGCGGACACCTGAAAAGAACTTAAATTTAGAGAAATTGAAAGAAGATTGAAAGAAAGATCAAAAATCAAATCAAATTTCTATTTGCTTACCTGTTTAGCGTACTTTTTAATGTCCATATAGTAGGATCGTGATCCTGAACCCAATCCCAAACCGCCTTGATCGAACTGTAAATTTAAATCGAATATTTTACTCGAATTAGAACAGCTTCAATAGAAGAAAATTTAAGAGGAGAATTGAAAATAGAAGAGCATCGATCTTTTTAAAAAAGTATCTTTCTTTCTTTCTTTTCTTTTTAACCAGATAGAGTGTCTGAATATCTGAATATCCTACAGAACCCAATATCGTACCTCAAATATCATACAAGGGTACTTAAGCTACAGCATGAGCTGTAGCTTAGAACACACTATATGTGTTAATACCTCAATACGCTACAATGCTCTCACTATTAATAGCTAGACATAGGAAAATTCCATCCCGAACCCAATTCCACCTTCCCCTTGTTTTCGCAGCCGTTTCTTGTGAATTGCTCTGAAATTTTGTCTACCGGAATGAGAAATCAGAGATTTTCATGCTTCCACCCCAGCTTTACTTCAAAGCTTCACTTCCCACCTTTGAAAAAATCAATTAACGCAGGCTTTTTCAGAATTTCTTAAAAGAAAGAGCAATTTGTAAATAAATAATAAAACTTTCTGATAAAGAAATCATGAATCCGATTGGTTCATTATTCATTTCGAAAAGTGAAACTTTAAAAAAGCGGACAAACCTTTCCGACAAAACCCAATCAAAGTTCTGTTCAATGTTCTGTTTTCAGGTCTTTAAGTGAGTCCCCTAAATTTTGCTCATTATTCCACATTGCAAACCTTTCATGTCTGTGCCTGCACTTTCTCTCGTAGTTCGGTGAAATGCGAAGTAAGCGGTGAGATCATCAGGGATCTCGTTGGCTGCAACCCAGCCACCGCAGGCAGACTCGAAAAGTTCTCGCACGGATCCACCTAGGTATTTGCATTTGTTTACTAAATTTAAATATTTATTTCAATATTTATTTCTTTATTTTTTTCAATATTTATTTCAATATCTACCTTCCCCCCCAATTTAAATGTTTATTTAAATATCTTATTTAAATATCTATCAAAATATCTCCCCCCCCCCCCCCCCATCAAAATATCTATCTAAATATCATATTCTATGTCAAACCGATTCATTTGGTGCCACTCGGGTAGCTCGGACGCCCGGGCGAAGCCGATCGACTTTGCAGGTTTTGCCGCGTCTTGGCACCAGGTTCAGATCTCTGGAAAGGATCAATTAGCTTTTTAACACATAAATCATCCCTTGCGGTATATATCTAAATATCTTTTTCAGCTTTATAGTAATGTACTTAATAGCTTAATAGGGAAATCAATCACCTGCTTAATAGGACCTATTCGTGGGCCGGCGAGCAAGGAAACTGGTAACAGCAGAAGAAGGCACCCAAGCTTTCCGTCTACAAATTCCCAAAAGTTAGAGTCATGGTTTAAATCCACCAGCCTAAATCCAAAAGCAAATATGAATAAATATTGCTGCAAAAGATTTAAAAGAGAATCATTTATTTGCGAAGAATTAATTAGAGCAAACCCAAAGAAAAAGCTTTTTTTTTTTTGTCAATCTTTTGGTTAAACTCTCTCGTTTAGTTCAGATAAAATGTTAGTTTTTTTTTCAGAAGGTGAATAATCGGGGGGCATCGTAAAGACAAGAGTCTTTCCTTGATGTTCGCGAGATTCAGGCAAAAATTTTGTGATCACTGAAAGGGAAAATATTGGTGGCAATCAGGGAAAGTCAATCAGGGATTGGGAGCCTCCGACACGAATTTTTTTTTTTTCACCCAGGAAATACCAAGAATAAAAATTTTTACAGAAAAATTGACCGGAAATCGGCAAAAATTAAGTAAGGAAAGTTTTGCTCTTTAGTGGAAAGAAATTTTTTTTTTTTTTTTTTTGGAGGAGGTAGCAGTTGACGACCCGCCTGAGTGACCCTTTTTTTTCTCTCTCTCTCATTTAGATTCTACGGATAAGAATGATACCTACTTTGTTTTTTTTTTGTGCTTACAAACGCGCACATTTTTCACAGCATACTGAAGTCTTTGTTTCTACGAGATGTAAGCAGATCAATGAGAATTAAAAACCGAATATGCTACAGAGTTTGGAGGAAACAAAAAGACTCAGCTAGGCTAGCAGGAAGCAAACCCGCTGTGAAGAAGTTTTAAGCTATTTCTATTTCTATTTCTAAGTTACCTATTTCAGAAAATACCGTAATCAAGCTACGAGTTGGCATTTAATCAGCTAGATTTCGATATTATTCGATAAGGAACTACAGGGGTCAAGCAATGATATCGAAATTGAGCTGATCAAATGTAAATTGGTAGTTTGATTACGTTAGTTTTACACAATTGAATATGTCCATTCCTCCCGGCTAATGTGCTTTCTAAAAACATCTATAACTTATAATCACCGCGTAATCCAACCCGCAGTTTCATTCCCCCCCCCCCCCCCCCCCCCCCCGATCAACTTAATCAGCCTAATTTCGATATTATTCGATGAGGACTCACAAGACACAGCCAATGATATCAAAATTTGAGCTGATCAAATGTAAATTGGGCTGGTTTGATTACGTTAGTTTTGCACAATTGAATGTGTCCATTCCTTCCGGCTAATGTGCTTTCTAAAAAACATCTATAACCTATAATCACTATAATCCAACCACCAGTTTCATTCGATCAGCTTAATAAGCCATTTAATCAGCTAAGTTTTGATATTGTTCGATGAGGACTCACAAGGCACAGCCAATGATATCAAAATTGAGCTGATCAAATGTAAATTGGGCTGGTTTGATTACGTTAGTTTTTTTTTTCGTTAGCTTTTTTAAACTCTTAAAAAACATAGGTGTCAATTTCCTTAAACTTCTTGAAGAGTTGAAGATTTCAAAGCAAGAGAGTAATGAAAAAAGGAACAAAACGTTTTCAAAACAAAAACCACTCAAACAATTACTGTGGAATATAACTAAAATAGAAAGTAAAAGCAAAAGATTTGAAAAAAAGTTAACTGATCCAAATTAGCTTTACAGGTTTACTCAAGAAAAAATAAGTAAAGAGAAAGAACAAGAAAAGAACAAGATCTGCTACACAAATTTAGCATCATCTCAATTCTATTCTCAATTCTATTCTCAAAGAAGGCTATGAAGCAGGCTATGAAGCAGGCTATGAAGCAGGCTATGAAGCAGGCTATGAAGCAGGCTATGAAGCAGGCTATGAAGCAGGCTATGAAGCAGGATATGAAGCAGGCTATGAAGCAGGCTATGAAGCAGGCTATGAAGCAGGATATGAAGCAGGATATGAAGCAGGATATGAAGCAGGCTATGAAGTAGGCTATGAAGTAGGCTATGAAGCAGGCTATGAAGCAGGCTATGAAGCAGGCTATGAAGCAAAGCTGGCTGTGAAGAAGCTTTAAACTATTTCTATCTCTTTCTAAGTTAGCTATTTCAGAAAATACCGTAATCAAGCAGCTAGTTAGCATTTAATCAGCTAGATTTCGATCTTATTCGATAAGAAACTACAGGGATCATGCAATGATATCAAAATTGAGCTGATCAAATGAAAACTACCGGTTTAAGTACAGTAGTTTTCTCAAAAAGATCCTTAGAAAACGCAGGAATACACTCTAAACCTTTTTTTTTCACCTTTAGCGCTTTTTTTTTTCAAAACCAATTTAACATAATTTATCAAAGCTTTTAACTCAAAAGTTTTATTAAAAAAGAATGAACGGAGTTATTCAGTCAAATATTTGCCTCTCTTAGTAACAAAATAATCATCAAATTCTTCAGGAAATGAAAAAAGCAAACTTAAAAAAGCAAACAAACAAACAGAAATGTTTCTAATATTTCTATTCCTAATAAACTCTCAAATCAATTCTTCAAAATCGAATACCAAACGAATACCAAACAAACAAGGTTTCCCAAACTTGAGGCTTTATATTCATGAAAGAGATCTCGTGAAATCGGCTCAATCTCCAGTAGAAAAGGATTTGTATTAAAAGAGATCAAAAAACTTCTCTACATACCGGTTCAATAGAAGTAAATCTCTAAAGAGAATCTCTAAAGAGAATCCCTAAAGAGAAGCTCTAAAGAGATCCCTAAAGAGATTTACTAAAATCTCTAAAGAGATTTACTAGGAACGAGATTTTTAAGCTTTCTTTTCTTCATTGTCAGACTATTTTTAGGTAAAAACCCATTAACTTTATGCTTTTTTTTTTCAGTTATTGTGTGAGACGAATAGACCATGAAAAGGAAAAAAACTTCAAGTAAAGCAAGAGTTTTTTTTTACAAAAAATGATCCTTTTACATTTTTTTAAGTGTAAAAGAAATCCCAAAAGCCTTTCTCTTTTCTCTTTTTTCAAGGATTATTTTTAAGGATGCTTTTAAAGATGTTTATTATCGAATTGTTTAAAAATGAATAAAATTAGAGAAGAATTTTTCTGAAAGAAACTTTTAAAAAAAATCGAGTAAAGATCTGAAATAGTTGTCTAATCTATTTTATGTTTAGCATGTTTTCGACAAATATTTTTCCTGTGTGGTGTTCGTGAGTGTAGATCACTCAAAAAAGAAAGAAGAAGGAGAAAGAAGGAGAATGAAGAAGAATGAAGAAGAATGAAGAAGAAAGAAGAAGATGAAAGAAGAAAGAAGAAGAAGAAAGAAGAAGAAAAGGAGGGGAAACCCTCAGGGTGATCTCAAAGAGAAAGAGATGAGAATGACAAGCGTTTAGATGAGAGAAATGTGAAAAGGGACAGTCAATTGTCACAGAAACAAATCACTTTCCTCTTTTTGTTCTTTAGAATTATTTGAAGAGTGTTTCGCAAAGTACTCATTTTGGTGTCAATTTTGTTGAGAACCTTTGTTGAGTACCTTTTTTGAGTACCAACTACAAGGGGACACCGATTTGTACATTGTATTGTACATTGAGGCACATTGTATTGTAGGCCAGATTGTATACTTGAAACTAGACATGCTTTTCGAGTTTGTTGGAAATTTTGTTTTCCGAACTTTAAATATATGAATGTCAGTTGGAATGTATTGAAATTTTCAAATGATTTGAGGAAAATGATTACCGAGTGGTTTATTTGATCGTTAATTCCTTCGAAAAGCTTTTCTCTCAAAAGAAATGCCTCAATCAAAAAGAAAAATTTGAAAAATCTTTACTTTACTTCAACCTCTTAAGTTATAGACCATTTAAGTGGATGGACCCTTTAAACTAGGTAGTCGAACTTTGACCGGAATTTTCTCTATGTTTTTACATTAAAGTTTACTAAGTAAGTTGTAGTTTTTATAACGGAATTTCATAAGGAACATTTGAAGACCAACCACAAGTCGATTCACCAATTAGAAGCCGAGATATGGGGGAAAAGAGAGGAGTTGTTAGACCTCAATAGATTTATTGGGGTATCATGACGATACCCCTATAAATGCAATACACTTCTCTCGGCTTTGACCCTACTTTTCTCTATGTTTTGATCGGTAAGTCTACAAAACCAATTCTATATTTCTTCCATCAAATTTCATGTATATTCTAATAAAAGTAACCTTGAGTTGATTCAACTTTTACCTCTTAAGTTATAGACCATTTAAGTGGATGGACCCTTTCAGCTCGGTCGTCGAACTTTGACCGGAATTTTCTCTATGTTTTTACATTAGTGTGTAGTAAATAAATTGTGGATTTTTATAACGAAATTTCATAAGGAACATTTTAAGACCAACCACAAGTCGATTCGACAATCAGAAGTCGAGATATGGGAGAAAAGAGAAGAGTTGTTATACCCCAATAAATTTATTGGGGTATCATGACTATACCCCTATAAATCATGACGATACCACTATAAATGACGATACCCCTTATTTTTAAATATTTAAATTGAAATCTAAAGATACTAATGGGTATTAAAATTGAAAGCAAAATGTAAATCATTGAATTCAAATGGAAAATTTCATAATATTAAACATTTAAACTTTAGATTCCCTTTGAAAAACTCTTTTAAAACACTTTAAAAACTCTTTAAAACAAAATAATAAAAGAAAATGTGAACAAAAATATAAATAAGATTATTATCAATGATATACAAGACTTCTAGCGATCAAGAATTTGTTGAGAACAAATCCGTTCAGAACAAAATTCAGATCTCAACTCTATCAGATGAACAATGGTGTGAAAGATGTCTGGAGGGGAATCGAATGAAAAGAGACTGTTGATTGGGTGAGGCCATTGTTGACAGAGTGCTCGTTTTTGATTTCACACAAGAGATGGACCAAGTCCTGAAGAGACTGAAGACTGTGGGTCGAATCGAAGAGATCCAAAAGATGTCAAGCACTCCCCGAACACTCTCCAACACGACCCCATCGCTTTCCTAAACACTCTCAGGACGATTCTCTTTGAAATTTCCAGATTTAGGCTCGTTAACAGGGACTGACCATTCTTTTTTTCTAGAGAAGCCATTTCTAGAGAGTCAATACCACTCAACGCGCCTCAATTGAGCTATTGAAGATTTCCGAATTTGGAATCGGTTTGAGAGATCTTTCATGCGATCGGCTTGATTGAAATCTTGAGGTCTAGTCTAGAACCAGTCTAGAACTAATCTAGAATCAGTCTAGAATTAGTCTAGAACTAGTCTAGAACTAGTCTAGAACCAACCTAGAACTAGTCTAGAACCAGTCTAGAACTAGTCTAGAATCAGTCTAGAACTAGTCTAGAACCAATCTAGAACCAGTCTAAAACTAGTCTAGAACCATTTAAACGTCTTATAGTTATTTAATAAAGTTTGAATAAAGTTAAAAACGTTCAATCGGCTCTGTTCAATCTGATCGTTCATTTTCCTCTCGTTATTTGAATTTGTGCACAAAGGATGAACTTACCTTCCAACCCAATACAATAAAGTGCAAAAGATCGTGAGTCTTGGTTTAAATACACACAAATCCGGGTTAGAACAAGAACTCGCACCGGGAATCGAACCCGGGAATCGAGGCCGGCTTGGCCGCGTGGCAGGCGAGGCTTCTGCCACTGAACAAGCGCCTTTATAGTT